CCCCAAAACCCCAAAACCCCAAAACCCCAAAACCCCGATTAAGTGTTGTAGGTTGAATGAAAAGTATAATATGTCTAAAAAGTCAACTTAGAAGGAGTCCTTTGCTCTTTTCTTCAAATTTGATTGCTCATCCACATAGGTATCATAAGTATCACTGACTTCGGTATCGTCAAGCTTGTCTTGGAGGCCAGTGTTGTACTTCATGATTTCTAGGCTTGGCTCTTCTTCTAACTTCTCAACCTTTTTCTTCTTTCTTGGAGGGAACAGGACTAATTTCTCTAGCTGCATCCATGGAGCTTCAAACAGGACAGAGAAGAAAGTCGCAACAAAGATCGAAATAAAGATTACACCGAAGTATGACCACAGAATTCCCTTGTGGTTCAAGAAGAATGACTGCCTCATTTGTCCGAAATACCATGTGAAAACGAATAAGTGAACCATGTACGAGTAGAAAGCAACTTTTGCCCATGGTGCCCAAAATCTGGATCCTAAGAAGATCTGTAGGAACTCGTTTTTGCCAACGATTGGGCCCATAAGAACAAGTGCAAGTCCTGTTACATAAAGTGGTCTACATAAGGATGAATAGATAGCTGCAAATGTGTTTCCCCAATATCTTCCTCTTAGGAACCTTCTGTTATCAGGTGTTACGATAAAGACCATGACTAGCATGATTCCGATCCCGAGTACATAGAAGAACCATCTGAGTCCTTTTGAGATCTGAACACTTTTGAAGAATTTATATCCAATTGTACTCTTTTTGCCTTCAGGAGTGTTTCCTTTGACGTATTCATAGTACATGTAACCAAATATCATTCCAACCTGGTATGAGCCAAATCTTGCCCAGGGCTTGAAGTAAAGTTTCCTACCTTCAACAGGATTTGTAAGGATAGATGTTCCAACATCAAAATGGATAGTTAGCCATGCAACCAGAATCAGATTTCCTGCAAGTAGAGTGTATGCAATAATATAGCTAACTTTTCTAGCTCTGTAGTAGAGTAACACTTGGAATGGCAAGAAGAGGAAGAACAGCATGTCATGGGATAGGTACCAAAGCCACCCCACGCATCCATTAGCATCTCCTGGATAAATTGAGTTGACGAAGGTGATGTAAGCCCAGAAGGTTGTAGGGCAGTCTTTGATCCACTTTTCTCTCTGTTCGAACCAGACAGGTCCACTTCCCAGATATGCATAAAACGTCATTGCGAAGAAGATTAGAAGGAAGACATTAGGAGCTAGTCTGTAAAATCTGTGGAAGTAAATCATACCAAAGTTTAGTCATTTTGATCTTTCAAATTTACTAAGCATCATGTAAGATCCTAAAAATGCGGAGAGATAGAAGAAAACATCTACAGCGAAGAATCCTCCTGGAATAGGCTGCCACCACAATGGCTGAGTGATCTCAGGGATGTAGGTTGGGTTTGATGCGGGGATCAATAAGACGTTATAATAAGCATGCCCTAATATAACATAAAGCATACTCAGAACCCTGACTCCATTCAATACCTTAAGAGGGTCATCAGAGTTAAATGGGGAATAGAATAGCTTCCAAAGATTTCTAGTTGGAGAAAATGAAAGAAATGCTTTCCCGAGAACTGTCTTGTTCTTAGCAACATCAGCACCTGCCTCTGAACTTGGTCCTCTGTTAAACAGGGATGTATATTCAGTGATTACCCCCATAATGTAGATGATGGCGAGAAGTCCGAATACAATAAAACCTATGATTCTTAAGGGAGTGACAGAAATAGTTTCGTCTCTATGAAACACAAACTTTGAATTTAGTAATGTTCCATTGCTCATCCCAAGTAATGATTGCCCTAAAGGAGCTACCTCTTCAGCTGTGCAAATATCGGGAAGACAAACTCCAAGATAGATGAATCCTATTGGTTTTACAGCAAAAGCAAATGTCCCGTGTTTTAGCCCTGGAGTTGCTTCACACAAATCATAGTCTCCAAGATCATTAATGGTTTTTCCTGTACTTGTAAGGATTGTAGTTAGCTTCTCCCCGCTTAAAGCCTGGATAGCAGCTGCTGCACAAGAAGGTTTCTTCTTGTCAGCTGCTAGCACTGAGCAGAATATCAGCAGTCAGATTAGTAAAGTCTTGCTCATATTTAATTTTATAATCTATATTAAAATGACGTGCTGGGGTTTTGGGGTTTTGGGGTTTTGGGGTTTTGGGG